GCCATGGGAGAGACGGGAGAGTGGGGTTGATCAGGGCCATGGGAGAGAGCGGGGGAGTGGGGTTGATCAGGGCTATGGGGAGAGACCGGGAGAGTGGGGTTGATCAGGGCCATGGGGAGAGACCGGGAGAGTGGGGTTGATCAGGGCAATGGGGAGAGACCGGGAGAGTGGGGTTGATCAGGGCCATGGGGAGAGAGTGGGGGAGTGGGGTTGATCAGGGCCATGGGGAGAGAGTGGGGTTGATCAGGGCCATGGGGAGAGAGCGGGGGGAGTGGGGTTGATCAGGGCCATGGGGAGAGACCGGGAGAGTGGGGTTGATCAGGGCAATGGGGAGAGAGTGGGGGAGTGGGGTTGATCAGGGCCATGGAGAGAGACCGGGAGAGTGGGGTTGATCAGGGCAATGGGGAGAGAGTGGGGTTGATTTGGAAAAGCACAGACACGACGGCTCGAATGGCCTCCTTCTGTGCTGTGCAATTCTATGATTCTATTGTCAGGCAGAGCCTGAGCCCCGATAACTGTGTCCTGATTGGACAGTGCTGTTGTCAGGCCATCCTGAGGCCCCAGTGACAGTGTCCTGATTGGCCAGTCCTGTTGTCAGGCGAAGCCTGAGCCCCCAGTAACTGTCTCCTGATTGGACAGTCCTGTTGTCAGGTACAGCCTGAGCCCCCAGTAACTGTCTCCTGATTGGTCAGTCCTGTTGTCAGGTGGAGCCTGAGCCCCTGGTGACTGTCTCCTGATTGGCCAGCCCCGTTGTCCGGCGCAGCCTGAGCCTCCGGTAACTGTCTCCTGATTGGCCAGTCCTGTTGTCAGGCAAAGCCTGAGTGCTGGTAACTGTTTCCTGATTGGCCAGTCCCGTTGTCAGGTACAGCCTAAGCTCCCGGTAACTGTCTCCTGGTTGTCCAGTCCCATTGTCAGGCATAACCTGACCTCCAGTGACAGTGTCCTGATTGGCCAGTCCTGTTGTCAGGCAGAGCCTGAGCTCCCGGTAACTGTCTCCTGATTGGTCAGGTACAGTGTATAATTCTATGATTCATTCGAAAAGGATGGGGTCTCTGACAATGTATCGCGTCCATCTCTCTCTCTCCCTCCCTCCCCTATGTTATCAATAATTATAATGTTGATTGGGGCTATGAGGAGAGAGAGAGAGAGCGGCGTTGATCAGGGCTATGGGAAGAGAGCGGAGTTGATCAGGGCAATGGGGAGAGACCGGGAGAGTGGGGTTGATCAGGGCCATGGGGAGAGAGCGGGGGGAGTGGGGTTGATCAGGGCTATGGGGAGAGAGCGGGGGAGTGGGGTTAATCAGGGCTATGGGGAGAGAGGGGGGGAGTGGGGTTGATCAGGGCCATGGGGAGAGAGCGGGGGGAGTGGGGTTGATCAGGGCCATGGGGAGAGAGCGGGGGGAGTGGGGTTGATCAGGGCAATGGGGAGAGACCGGGAGAGTGGGGTTGATCAGGGCCATGGGGAGAGAGCGGGGGAGTGGGGTTGATCAGGGCTATGGGAGAGAGCGGGGGAGTGGGGTTAATCAGGGCTATGGGGAGAGAGCGGGGAGTGGGGTTGATCAGGGCTATGGGGAGAGAGCGGGGGGGGCGAGCGAGGGCGGGAGTGGGGTTGATCAGGGCTATGGGGAGAGAGTGGGGTCGATCAGGGCTGTGGGAAGAGAGCGGGGGGGGGGGAGTGAGGTTGATCAGGGCTATGGGGGGAGAGCGGGGGAGTGGGGTTGATCAGGGCTATGGGGAGAGAGCAGGGGGAGTGGGGTTGATCAGGGCTATGGGGAGAGAGCGAGGGAGTGGGGTTGATCAGGGCTATGGGGAGAGAGCGGGAGGAGTGGGGTTGATCAGGGCTATGGGGAGAGAGCGGGGGAGTGGGGTTGGTCAGGGCCATGGGGATAGAGCGGGGAATAAATAAACACACATCCCCCCTGTTTAGCAGTGGTGCCCTCCATACTTTGACTAACCATTAATAACAATATTATTATTATATAATTATTATATATTATTGTTATATTGGCCTGGTCTGTGAGCTCAGAGTCTACGGTGTGTGTGTGTGGGGGGGGGGGGGTTGAACCCACAAATAAAGTGATAAGAATACTCACATTCAATGCAATAAACTTCTGATAACTCAGCGCTCCGAGGGAAAATAACAATAAAGCGACATGTTTATGGTGCCTTTCACATCAGGAGGATGTCCCAAGGCTCCTGGATAGACAGTTACGTACCTGAGCTGGGGGGCGGGGTGGGGGGAGGGTATAGGGTAGGCAGGGAAGCAGGGAAATTGAAAGCACGGTCAAAAAAGAGAGTCTTGAGGTGGGTCTTGATGGTGACGTGGAGGGGGCAAGGCAGAGGGACTGCAGGATGAGTTCCAGAGGGTGTGGGCAGAGTGGCAAAGGCTCACCCACGAGTGAGGCAGGGGAACGTGAAGCAGGCCAGAGCCCACTGAGCGGAGGGAGCGAACAGGATGGTAGGGGGCTCAGTGACGAGTTATCAGGAGAAACAAGTTAGGTATGTGTATAAATACAGAAATAAGAATAATATAATACTTACATTTGATATAACAACAACAACAACAACAAGATTCCATTTATAGAGCGCCTTTCACGTCAGGAGGACGTCCCAAGGCGCTGCACAGTTGGGTCATGACCCGAGCAGGGGGGAAATGGTCAGGTGAGGGGAGGGAAGGGAGGGAGAGAGGAGGGGGGAAATGGTCAGGGTGAGGGGAGGGAAGGGAGGGAGAGAGGAGGGGGAAATGGTCAGGGTGAGGGGAGGGAAGGGAGGGAGAGAGGAGGGGGGAAATGGTCAGGGTGAGGGGAGGGAAGGGAGGGAGAGAGGAGGGGGGAAATGGTCAGGGTGAGGGGAGGGAAGGGAGGGAGCGAGGAGGGGGGAAATGGTCAGGGTGAGGGGAGGGAAGGGAGGGAGCGAGGAGGGGGGAAATGGTCAGGGTGAGGGGAGGGAAGGGAGGGAGCTTATTAAGCTGTTGAGATGTCTCAAAGTGCTTCACAGCCTACACTATAGAGGGTAGTGACTGCGTGGTTGTGGACGAAAATAATGTGGCTGGATATTGATGACTTAAGTGGTACTGATAAATTAAGCCAGGGTCAAGTTATCAGAAGTTTATGGTATGTGTAAATTCTTGTTGTACACACACACCTGTTTCCAGCTGGTGGCTGGGGGAGGGGTTCAGTGACAGGGAAAAAAACATCTGCTCGGCTGGGGGGAGCACTAATCGAATAAAGAGTAAAGAGGTGGCTGGGGGGGAGTGAATTGGATTTACTGAGTGTGTTCAAGAAGGTATTTGTCAGTGGGAATAATATAACAGGAGTGAGGGGATTACTGTGAGTGTTTGGGGGGAATAAATAAGTACATATCCCCCCTGTTTAGCAGTGGTGCCCTCCATGCTTTGATTGACAGGAGGGGAACCATTCCTGGATTAGAGGGGGAGCATGGTTTAGAATAAGTAGGAACAAAGAACAAGGAGGGTTCGAAATGGAGGAGTGTGGGATTTATTGGGTATAAATAAATGTCAAGTTAACAGTAGGAGTTAGAAAACCGGAGTGAGGAGTGTGTGGGGTAAAGTGAGTGGGTTATTAAAGTGCTCGCTTTTCTTCCCCTCTCTTTGGCAGTGGTGCGCTCCACCCTCCCGCTCCTCACACACGGAGGAAAGATGGCGTCGCTGAGAGGAGTGGAGTCGGTGTTCGGCGCGGGTTTCAGGTTGTGGCCGGGCGGCCAGACTCCAGGGGAGCTGTACTCGGTGCCCAGCAGCGGCCTGGGGCCGACCAGACACACTCTGTGAGTCCGGGGGAGGGGGTTAGACTTTCATTTCCCCTTAAAGGGGCAAAAGTGCTGCCTCATCCCCTCCCGCCGCCGGCGAGGAGGTCAGAGGTCACAGAGAAGGGGGAAGAGGGAAACGGGGGAAGGGGAGATAAAGGAGGGGGGGACAGGAGAGAAAGAGAGAGAGCCCGGGGGCGAGATCATTTTCTCCAGTAAGACCATTAATCCACCATGATGTGGGTGAGTGATTTTTTTAAATCTGTGGGCCAGGACCCCGGTCAATGGTCTCAAAAGGACAGTGTCTCTCATAATGCTGCGCTTCTCCCCCCAGCGCTGGGCTGGAGTGTCAGCCTGGACTGTGAGCTTACAGGCCTGATGTGAGGGCTTGAACCTTCTGATTCCTGAAGCCAGAGCTTGACTCAGCAAGCTGGCAATTACAGTGGAAGTGTTTCCAGATATTTTGATGTTAGAGACACACGCTGGGTTGTGTGTCACTTTGTCTTGAAGATTAATTTCTTTTTGAGAGAGATTTATTTCTCAGTTCGATCTCTGGTGACTGGCGATCAAGAGAAGTGCTTGAGAAAGCAAAAGTCAGATGGTTTAAACGGGCCTGGAAACGATTGGAAACTCTCTTTGCCTTTAACATCAAAACGTCTCAAAAAGTGCTTCACAGGGAATCGCTATCAAGTTTATTGACTGTTTATTTGTAACCCAACGCAGCAGTCAATTTGCACTCTGCACACCCATTAAATAATAATTATCTTCACATTTAACACCGTGACTTTCACGTCAGAAGGATGTCTCGAAGCGCTTCACGGGATTCCCAGGAAAGTAGTGCAGTGACTATTTTGTGGGCTAATGCGACAGCCGATTGGTGTGTAGCAATGCCCTCGCAAACAGCCAGGAAGTGAGCGAGTGAATTTGTCTGTCAGTCAGGACACCGGGAGGGAGATGGACCAAATGGCCTCCTGTGTTGTAGGATTCTCTTCTACTACGGCCCTGTGTTGTTTGCAGGAACCCCATGGTGACTGGCACCTCGGTGCTGGGGGTGAAGTTCGATGGGGGGGTGATTCTGGCTGCTGACATGCTGGGCTCCTACGGCAACATGGCCAGGTTCCGCAGCATCTCCCGGCTGATGAAAGTGAACGAGTGCACTGTGCTCGGGGCCTCAGGAGACTACGCTGATTACCAGTACCTCAAACAAGTAATCGAGCAGATGATGTGAGTCAGGGCTACTGATCCGTGTGTGTATGCGTCTCTCCCTGTCTGTGTGCCTGTCTGTTTCTGTGTTGCGTGCCTAGTGTGTGTGCACGTCTCTCTTAATGTCTGTGTGCATCTCTCCCACATGCAGCGCAGACATGCTTGGCCGAATGGCCTGATTCTGTGCTGTAACATTCCACAACCCAGGCCCTTGCACCAAGGGCTTTGTAACAGCAGAGGCGTTGGAGTATGTTGGCTTTACTCCTGATTTCTGGATCATGTATGTTGCCGTTTGTCACACACTCTCTAGCTCTCTCTCTCTCTAGCAGGTCCAAACCTAATGTTCTCCTTTATCCATAGAATTAATGAGGAGCTGGTGGGAGATGGGCACAGCTACAGCCCTAAGGCTCTCCATTCCTGGATGACTAGAGTCATGTATAACAGGTGAGCCGCGCACATTCACTGCCTTAGAGTCCTGTAGCTCAGTGGTTAGAGCGCTCGCCTCACAAGCAAGAGGACCTGGGGTCGATTCCTGGGTGGGACAGGTCAAAACCTTAGGCAAGTTTCCTTACTCCATGAACACACACACCTTTGTTTACCTAGCAGTAAGTAGGAACCTGCTTGATATTTGATTAGCGGATCATTTTCCAAAAATAATAATTTGGTCACTCAATTCACAACTGCTTGTGGGACGCTGACTGGGACAAACCCACGCTTCACACCTTGAGGCGAGAACCAAATAATAAAAAACACAATAAAGAAGCTGACGTCTCTTCACCCCCAACAGAGCGGCAGGAGTTTACTGTACACATAGTAACAATCCTTTACATTACTGCGCAGGTGTCTGTATTTACACTGCGCCCCTCACGCAGAGTAGCGGCCCAGAGCGCTTGACAGTGGAGGAGCACAACTCCGAGCTGGGGGGAGGGAGGGGGCAGGTGACCATAGGCACGGTCTTCGGGAGCCAGCTGCAGACGGGGCAGTGGGGGCATTGAGCCAGGGCAGGGAGTTAACGTCTCATCCCAAAGGACAGCTGTATGAAAGGATTAGAAAGGTTTTATCCTCTCAGGGAGGGAGGGAGGGGTTTACCTGAGCTGAAGTGGTTGGTGCTAGAAGGTGTCGCTTCAGCCCCAGTGTCATCCACGACATCATCTTCAATGCGTTGCCATGGCTCCAGCTCCTCTTCCTCACACTCCATAAACAAGTCTGTGTCTGCCATAATGATCCCACTGGAACAGGACATCACAAGAGAACAATTACTATTATTATTATAATAAAAAGGCTCAGTGATGCATTTACTGTATATATTATTGTTATTATATACAATAAACTCATCACCGAGCCCTTTTATAATAATGCTTGCATTTGATACAGCGCCTTATCGCATCTTCTTTCACAGGATATACTGTAAAGTGAATTGACTGTATATTTTTTGGATGAAACAAACATATAGTAAATTTTCCTTTGGAGTGTCGAGTTATCAGGAGTTTACTGCGGATAACAATGTGTGGGATTGGTTGCGGCTCTGTATGAGATACACTCAGATCCTGTTAACCCTGCAAGCCTTATTATAATAATAATCCACGACTGTTTGTGGGACACTGTTGTGAGCAATTGGTCTGGTTGAGTTTCTGTTTGAGTAAAGGAGGGGATGAACAGTACAGAAACTCTCGGACCATGAACCCACCTGAAGTGTCAAACCCTCTGAGCTGGGGATGCAACATGAATTAATTAACCTACTATTATCCTTGGTCAATAGACTAAGCAATCACAGCTCCATGAGCAACCGAAAGGGAACCACTGTGATACAGGCCAGTAAGCAACAGGTGACACACCTCCTGTTATTGTCTGCTTTGTTTGTCAATTGACTGAACAATCACAGCTGGAACCTCATAATGAGGTCTCCCTCCAGAGAGAGAGCGCAATCCATCCCAACAACCTGTCTCGGGGGTTCCCGGGTGTGAGGGGGATGTGGGGAATTCTCAGTTGGGTTTGGAGACTCTTAAGCAACGGTGACGGGTTTCCGTGTGTGTGGACACATTATAGCGCCCAGCGGTGGTGGGGGGGGATTCAGGATATATGAGGGTATATACGGGTGTGGTGTATACGAGCTGCCATGTTTACAGGGCGTGCAAAGTAGTCCGCGGCGTGGGGCAGATACGCGCGAAGGGATCTCGGTATGTGTGTGGACGGGAGAGTGAGGCGGCCTCTCCCGGGTAGGGTGTGAGAGAGAGGTGGGAAGAGAGAGGAGATTGGGGAGGGAATAAAGCCGGAGAGGAGAGGGTAGTCGAGGGCGGGAGTGAAGCGGCTCCAAAATGGCGGCGACGACCGGATAACAACCCTCCTTCCCCCCCGGGCCCGACCCTCGCACAAAGCCCCACAACTCACCCCGTTCCAGTGAGCGGCGCGGCCTCTCCTTCTCCTGCTGCTTTTTGCCCCCGTCCCGCGGCCCCTCGCCTCGCCTCTCCCGCTCCTCTCCGCTCCCGCTCGCCCTGCCTGGCTCTCGGCTTCCCGCCTCCTCCACAACCAGCCGCCGCTACTTCCGGCCGCGCGGAGAGCTACACACCGCGCGTACCCGGCCCACTTCCGCCACCCGCGCGCGTTTGGTTGTGTAGTGCGTCTGGGGATGGTCTCCTGGTGCAGGTGGTGTGAGAGTGGTCTCCTGGTGCAGGTGGTGTGAGAGTGGGCTCCTGGTGCAGGTGGTGTGAGAGTGGGCTCCTGGTGCAGGTGGTGTGAGAGTGGGCTCCTGGTGCAGGTGGTGTGAGAGTGGGCTCCTGGTGCAGGTGGTGTGAGAGTGGGCTCCTGGTGCAGGTGGTGTGAGAGTGGGCTCCTGGTGCAGGTGGTGTGAGAGTGGTCTCCTGGTGCAGGTGGTGTGAGAGTGGGCTCCTGGTGCAGGTGGTGTGAGTGGGCTCCTGGTGCAGGTGGTGTGAGTGGGCTCCTGGTGCAGGTGGTGTGAGTGGGCTCCTGGTGCAGGTGGTGTGAGAGTGGGCTCCTGGTGCAGGTGGTGTGAGAGTGGGCTCCTGGTGCAGGTGGTGTGAGAGTGGGCTCCTGGTGCAGGTGGTGTGAGAGTGGGCTCCTGGTGCAGGTGGTGTGAGAGTGGGCTCCTGGTGCAGGTGGTGTGAGAGTGGGCTCCTGGTGCAGGTGGTGTGAGTGGGCTCCTGGTGCAGGTGGTGTGAGAGTGGGCTCCTGGTGCAGGTGGTGTGAGAGTGGGCTCCTGGTGCAGGTGGTGTGAGAGTGGGCTCCTGGTGCAGGTGGTGTGAGAGTGGGCTCCTGTTGCAGGTGGTGTGAGAGTGGGCTCCTGGTGCAGGTGGTGTGAGAGTGGGCTCCTGGTGCAGGTGGTGTGAGAGTGGGCTCCTGGTGCAGGTGGTGTGAGAGTGGGCTCCTGGTGCAGGTGGCCTCATACACAGATGATCTAGTCGTTTCCAGGTGCAGTCGATGGGCCAAATCCCACACCTCACCAGTGAGATTTAGACTATTTCTGTCATTTCTGGAAACCACAAAGGTGCTTCCCAGTGTCCTGGCCAACACTTCTCTCTCTCAATAAAGAGCCATTCACTTCACGTATCTGCGTGAGGATCCTTGCTGTGGGTAAATTGGCTGCCACATTCACCCACAGTTAGAATCAATAAATCTTACAGCATAAGGAGGCCATTTGGCTCATCATGCCTGCTCTTGAAAGAGCTATCCAACTTGTCCCATACCCCCGCTCTTACCACAGAGCCCCACAGGATTCACATTACCATGAAGTGCTTTGAGATGTCTTGATCATGCAATTGTATCAAGGATTATTTAAAAAAAACATTTGGGACATTTCCTCCTAGCTGCTTTATTCACTCTGTGACAAAGTACAAAATTACAGTACATATATTTTTCCTTCACCTTTTAAAATAACAAGAAAAGTTTATAGGTTACAGATAAGCTCTGAGGCTTCTTGAGTAGCGGCTTGAGTAGCGAGGGGAGACATGATGACAGCTCCAGCACTGCTTTCATCTTCTATTCAAAGCCACTGCAATAGAGACAGAAGTGCAGTTAGTAGGTTCAGTGACTTGGTTCATTATGGAAGTCTTCCCCCCCCCCCTCTCTTATCACCCACCCCCTCTCTGTCCTCCCTCTCTGGTATCCTGGCCGAAAACCACCTCCCCTCCCCCAAATAAAATTAATCATTCACTTCATGGCTGTTTACGGGGACGTCGCTATGTGCAAATCAGCCGCTGCGTTGGCACCCAAAACAGTCACTACATTTCACAGTATATCCTGAAGTGCTGGGAGCTGTCCTCCTGACGTGAAAGACGCTGGATCACTTGACCATCCTCTCCAACCGTGCCTATGGTCACCCCCCCCCAGCTTGCCGCCAGGCTCCACCACTGCTGTTAAGTGCTTTGAGACGCTGCCCCACCTGATGGGAGCTGTGTAAATACAGTCACTAACCTGACCATGTGAGCGATGTCCCAGTTGGTTTCTGTGGACAGCGGCCCCTCGATTTCCACCCCAGCCTCTGTCACAGTCGCGATCTCATACTGAGGGAAACAACAACAAATTACATCTGTACAATGCCTTTCACGTCAAGAGGACGTACCAAAGCGTGCAGTCATACATATACAAGAGAGGGGGGGGGTCTAACAGGGAGGATATAATATAAGGATGAGGGAGGAGAGTCAGCCAGGGGTCCTGCTCCAGGTCCCTCTACAGCACTGGGTATGTTTGAGAGCATTATTATCCCTGGTAAGTGATCTACCAATCGAACCAACAAAGTGGGTTCTTACTTACCGCTGGTAAACAAAGGCATGCGTGCGTGCCTTTGTGTGCAGCAAGGGAACTCGCCTAAAGTTTTGTCCTGACCTATCCCACCTGGAAATCAAACCCTGGTCTCTCGCTTATGAGGCGAGAGCTCCAAGCACTACACTACAGGACTCCATTAGAGTCGTTAGAGCTGTGGAGAGGGGGCAGCGTGATTGGCTGTGTCTCTTACCCTGTTGTAGGAGCGGGCGTCTCTGTAGTACAGCACCTTCAGGCAGCGCTCAATCAAGTTTCGGGCCATATCCTTGGTGAGGTTGGGATTGGCTTCTGTTGCTTCCCTCAGCAAAGGCTGCAGAGGACAGTGTGAATACAGGGGATGGAGAAACACACACACACACAGACAGACACTCTCCCTCCCTTGGCCCAATTATATACAAACATACACTGTCTCCTTCCCCCCCATAAAACACACATCCCCGCTCCCTCACCCCCATTATACACACACACTCACGAGTGAGAGTATGTTTCACACACGTGCGCTCTTGCCCTCGCCTGCATGCTCCCCCGCTCACTTTCACGCGCTCGCTTTCACCCACACAGTGTACCTGCGCTAGATAAGCCCCAAAGCCAGTTGCCAATGTTGGAGCTTCATAGGCCACACCCAGCTTGTCCACGTACCCCAGGAAACTGTGAACAAACAGTGTGGTTATAGCAAGTGAGACCCGTGTGACTGCTCAGTGTCTGCCTCCCTCCCGCACAACACCCTCCCACCCCCCCCGCCCCACAACCACCTCCGCACTTCCCCCTCCCACAACCACCTCCTTCACAACCTGCACCAAAAAGCAATCATCAGTCAGTGTGTAACTGCTCCCCATTCCCGTCTCTCAGTTGCCTGGCTACCTTTCTCCATTGTTCACACCCCCGATGATGACTGTGTTCCACAAAGGGTTCATCTTACTCCTCCTGTGAGAAGAATGAGGGGGGAGAGAAGAGCTTCAGTCACACACACAGACCCACAACGCTTGGAAACAAGCCCATACTCAGTACTGGAGACCCCAGCCTTCCTTCAACCCATTAACGGCAGTCTAGACTGATGCTAGCCCAGGTACTGAGCCAGGCTAACACACGAATCCAACTCCTAACAGAAAATCCCAACAGATGGTCCGAATAATAATAATCCTTGCATTTGATATAGCACCTTATCACATCATTTGAAATGTAGGATATACTGTAAAGTGTAGTGACTGGGATGTCTTTCCGATATGAAGGGCGCCATACAAGTTTGTTGTGTGTTTTGTGGGTGAAACCCGGCAGCCAAATGCACACAGCAGTG